ACTCGGGAAGAACGAGTCGTCTTGTGGGAGTGATACTGATTCCGCTACTGAGCTATAAGTGAATTGCCTTCCTATTTCATGGTCCGAGATTGTTTCAGAAAGGTCCTGTCATCAATAGAACCGGTGAGCTCATTTTAAACACCAGCTGCAATATTCTTCAGGTTTTTCTGGAATGCATTAGTATCATAAGGATGCCACCAGTTTGCCTCACAAGGAGGTTGCTCAGGGCATATCTGAGTCTTGAAAGAAGTCTAGTCCAGTGTGATGCCATGGTGACAAAGGGCATAGACTTGGTTTCAACATTGGTAAAGACCAAATCAGCAAACCCCCCACCCCCCTAGACACCAATAATATTGATAGGGACATGCCCATACCATCTGTACCCAAATCTTCATCATTGATTACCCTCACCAGGAAATGTAGAAAAGGATTACCTTTATTTATATACATATAGTTGCCACAAATGTGCACAATGGTCTGTATGTATTGATGAAACAGTTTTCAGCATTACAGAAATGAATGATGAGCGACACATACAGTTGTGTGAAATAAGATTCACACCTTTTCCTGCTTTTTTCATAAATTTGCATGTCTAATGTCTAAGACCTGGCCTAGACAATCAGCATTAAGTTATCAATACACAGGTTCTATAAGGAAAGATCCAACAAACCCTGCAGGGAGAGGGTGGGGGCTGCCAATTATTTGGAAAATGGAAGCAATTTTTAAGACTGTCAAACCCTACAGCCATCCTGTCTAATTCAAGAAAGGACAACATCTTCATAGCAATGACTGTTTTGCCAAGATCTCTCTGAGAACAGAATTTAAAAATAATCCATAAAGTCAAATACTAGATCACCATCCAGAGATCTTTGGGTGTCTTGTTCTGCCTGTGGCCATCGTTTATGACGTCAAAATGGTAGGATCACTGGAAAAAAACTGCATATAAAGCAAAAAATAATTCAAACAAGTTAAGTTTTAGGCTACAAAGGGAACACAACCTGCAATATGGAGCACTTAATATTACTTAAAGTTACTTCTTGACTGATTCATGAATCTCTTAGAAGTAAGGCTTTAATATTTTACCCACTCTATATGGCAATCACCTTAAAACTACAGCAGCAAGAGAAAAATGTCATTTTTTTGTTTCAGCGTAACTCAAAGCAGCTAAATGTTCTGGCATGAGAGATATGTACCTTACTCTGCTATACCTTCTTCACAGGAGCTTTGACCACATCTAGGTGGCAAATGGGTTTGCATGCAGCGTCACATCCTTAATGATGACATCATTTAGAGGACGAAAGGTCTTCTCATTTACAGGCAGCTTCTCAAGTTCATCCAATGTCTCCAAGCCATCTATTATCCTGTACAATCAAAAACAGCTTTTATTAGTTATAGGAATAAAGAAACCTTCCATAAAGAAGTTTCATAAACACATTTTATGCTATGTAAGCTAAATGTTTGAGCTCGGTTTTTAATTCGCTGCAAAACATCAAATAATATGATTAATTCACAATTTTGAAGAGACTTTGAATCTAACTCAAAAAGGTGTATTCTGAATACTGATTTCCAGGTGTCCTTTAAAAATATTTTAACCAACAAGGATGACAAAATGCCAGTTGTCATGTAATGCCAACATTAATAAAATGTTTAATATCTTATCGGACCTGCTGCTAACCACTATGCTGGTTACATCAGTCAGCATTCATTAATTAGGGTTCATTTAGCTATTAATGAGTCTGACCAATTCCCAAGATAAACGATGGGTTTTTTTTTTCTTTACTAGTGTATGCTATAAATAGCTATATTCTTCAAACTACCCCAGACAAAGTGAAATTTTATTAGGCTAAATTTTCTTAAGCAAGAAAAGATTTTCATTTATTTTTAATTAATTCCAGAGGTGGGGGTTAAAATCCCCCCACTCCTCTCTGTGTGGGGTTTGCATGGTCACCCTGTTTTTTTGTCTTTTTCCTCCCAAGGTCAAAAGAGTTAACCCCTTGAAGCTGTAGAAACAGCACTTATTACCTACTTTCCAAACACTGTATACTTCATATCCAGGTGAGGCTGTTTAGCATAAGTGAAGAAGAATTGGGATCCGTTGCTGTTAGGGCCGTTGTTGGCCATTGAAACCACACCACGAGCATTGTGCTGCAATGACATGATGCAACAGAAAGTTGGGCAAAGTTAAAAGCTGAAAAATGTCTGAAGCACAAAAATTCACACTTATGTGGTTTTCTGTTATACCATAAATAATTTATATATGGTAAGTCTGCAATAATTTCAATAGTACTTGCCTTGAAATGTTCACTGAATTCATCTTCGAATTTTCTCCCCCAAATACTTGTTCCTCCCTTCCCAGTACCTAGTAAAAAACATTTATAACTGTACATTTTACTTGTAAAGGTAGTTCTCAGCTTCACAAGCCAACTCGTTCCATATTATCGCTCATTAATTGAGAACCCTTACAGCAGGAGGTAATTTCCCATAGAAATGTTTTAAAAATGATGCCTTTGGTTATAGCAAAAAAATATATATATTATAATTTTTGTGCCAAATAAACAAAAGAAACACAAACATATTATTAAAATTAACATTTAATCAAAAACAAACGCACATTTAAACAAAGAAAATCCCTGGAGAAAAACACTTTGTTAAAACTGCAACAATTTTGTCAATTTTGGTCACTTTGATTTTCAGCAGATGGGGTGTTTTTCTTTATGCATCCGATTCAGAGCTGGTGGAGATTGCTTACAAACTGTACGTGAAATTAACCTAGAGCAGGGTTATTCAAATCATGGTCCTCGAGGTCCGAGCACTGCTGGTTTTCCAGCCTTCCTTTATCTGTCAGTCAGGTGTGAAGCCTCTGGCCAATCAGAATCATTAATTATTAAACTAACTACCTGGGAGAACTGAAAACAAGGCCTGGATTTTGAATCGAGGTCCAAATTTGAAGAACCCTGGCCTAGAGTATTACCGGGATCAGGCTGGGTCGTGAAACAAAGTGGTATAAATCGGGCACCATCGTAAAATATGCCGTAAAGTGTAATGCTGCGCATGCGCAGATATGCAAGATACAAACTGGGCATGCTCAGTCAGTAAATTCACACAGCAAGGTTATCTGAAAACTTTGTCGGGTCAAGAACATCGTTTTTGGCCAGCACGCCCAATGAGGCACCTCAGAGCAGTCACCAAGTGTACTAATAATTACCTCCAGTTCAATTTAGCTGAAACGTGAAATAACATCACAGATTTTCAGCACTCACAGAATGCAAAATCCCATCTTCAACAATCAGCATAGAGCAATAAACGACTCATTTCAATTCCTGAGTAACTATATCTGCAGGTTCTGGAAAAGGCATATTAACAAAAACCACACAGATCACCTGACCACGCTTGGAGTCAGTCAACACCTCACAGTCCAATTCTCCACAGCATTAATCATAGTCGCTTGACTATGCTGTACAGTAGTTGTCAATCAACGTACCACCAAATGTGCAAGTCGGATGATCGCGGATCCATCACACCCAGAATAACTTATTTTAGTCGTTTTAGATCACTAATGTACAAAATCTCACAATTTAAAAACGACTCCTTCCCCATTGCTGTGGAGACATTCAACAATTAATGCATGAATTTGCTTCATGCCCTGTTGTTCTGTGGGATTCATTTTATGTTTCATTTGCCCTAAGTCTATATTTATAAACTATTCTTCACTTTATTTCATATTCAAAGTGTAAGATTGCACATCTGAGATGTAGTGTATTACGTTAGAGAGATTTTTAGGAATTTTCTGTATTACATTTACATTGTAGCAACGATCCGTTATTTTAAGTTTAATTTTGTGAGGTTATATCCTGATGTGCCCTATTTATATCATACTGTCTTATTCTGACTGCTACTGTTACTTTATGTAGTATGCTGCACAAACAAAAACTTCCACCAGCACAGTTGGAAAGATTTGGTTCTATACTTTCCAAAAAAATACCAAAAATAAAAATGTTAAATTACAAAATGCTGAAGCAAACATAAGCTAGTGTAAAACAGTAGTCTTCTTCCCAGCTGGTCTCCTCCCGCAAATTGACAGCAGCTCGCTGACACCAGCGAATGATGCGCAATGTCCCGGAAATTTGTCGTTCATTTATTCAGCCGTGGTAAAATTAGCGACAAAATGTTTTGCAACCTTGCCCCATATTTTACCACCATGCACTCTCTAGCCCCGGTAAGCAAATTTAAAAGTTACCTGTTGGGTCTCCGGTCTGCACCATAAACCCCTTAATGTTCCGATGAAAGATACAGCCATTATAGAAGCCGCTTGCGCAAAGAGCTAAGAAATTCTGCAATAAAACATAAACAATAGCCATATTGATAGTACGTACTTTGAATGTACACTGCAACAGTGTAAGACTACTTAAACACAAGACTCACCTCACAAGACTTTGGAGCACGTTCACAAAACAGTTCAATTTTTATGTCCCCCAAGTCTGTATGTAGAGTCACTGCCTGTAAAACATGTGAACATTTACGTTATGTGTAGCTGACTTTTTCCTGTATTATTATACGGCACTGATTTAAGACGACATCATATTCCTCTGTTTCTCACGTTAGCTGGCAAGTGTAAAAGAATAATATTGATCGAACTCTGTTGGTTCATAGGCTGTAAGAATAACGTGAAGAACAGATTTGATTAACTGAAAATGTGGAACGAGGAAAAACAGGTATAGTTTTACGACATATGTATTTACTCAATAACTTATTTGTAAATAAAAAGGTTACCATTACAAACACGTGCAGTATAACCCGGAAGTAGAGTGAAGTATTTGCGCGTGCGCGGTATAGGCACCGGTGAGTGACGTTGTGTGATGTGGGGTGCGCATGTGTGCTGCAAATCGTGCAGGAGCTGGAGATCGGGTCGTCAGAAATAGAAGTGATGCCGAGCTTACGCTTTCGTATCCCTGTACTTTTGCAGTGGGTAGGTTAAAGAGCTTGTTTTGAAATCCATAGCTTTGAAGTTTCATAGCTATATAGCATGTCAAAGCAGTCTTGAGTAACTGTGTTTATGCTAATTTATTCATGCTTTGTTCATGCTTACAGAACACGGTATAAAAAGAAAATCATGCTTGAGTCCATAAAACTCCCCATCACGGTGAAAGCCGACGTGAACTTAGTGCTGGTTGCCTTGACACTTATGGGACTGGTAACGAGGCTCTGTGGGATTAATTTCCCCAAAGCTGTAGTGTATGAGCAATTTTTTATTATTTTTACCTATTTCTGTCTAGTCTAAAGTGTTGTATGAATTACTTTTTTTAATTCATTGTATTGCTACTGGAAAAGCAGTACTAACGCAGTTTGTCTTTATATGTGGTCTGTCGGTGTTTATATTGTAGGTTTGATGAAGTTTACTATGGGCAGTTTGTCTCTCTCTACATGAAGCAGCTCTTTTTTATCGATGAGAGTGGCCCACCGTTAGGTCATATGATCTTGGCACTTGGAGGTGAGACCCTGCTGTTTAAAACCTTATTCATTTACTTTCCCAGTAAATCAATATTAACGTGACTGAATTATTTTTATTTAGCATATCTCGGAGGATTTGATGGGAACTTTGTCTGGGACAGAATCGGTGCAGGTAGGGAACTGGATATAGATATTACACATTCTGCAGCTGAACCATACTGACATTACAGTGTCCCCCAGACAGCTAGATAGATTTTTCTCAGCAAACATGTTATATGTACAGTATATAACATATTATTATATTATCAGTAATGACTCAGTCATAAATTCAAAAGTAAAAATATATGCATGCATAATAATATGTACAACATGCTGTTTTGCTTATTACAACAGAGTACACCAGCAATGTGCCAGTGTGGAGTCTGCGGGTGATCCCCGCATTGGCAGGGGCCCTCTGTGTGCCCCTTGGATATCAGGTGATGGTGGAACTGCGCTACTCCCACCTTACAGCAGTGGGCGCCACTCTGCTCCTCCTCTTAGGTATGCTTTCATACGCTATGTAAAGCCGAAATACAACGTCCTACATTTATTTCTAGATATGTAAAAAAATATGTATGCTTTTTTTGGAATATATATGCATTTTTTGTGAATATTCACTTTAAAAAAATACTTATCTTATTTTTATTTAATGCATTTTTGCATATAATTTTTTGTTCTTATTTGTTATTCAGGATGTGTCCTGTTCTGTACATTATGGGTATTTCTGTGTCTGCTTCTAACACAGAAAATGCCCTGATTGTCCAGTCTCGCTTCATGTTATTGGAGTCTTTGCTGATCTTCTTCCTGCTTACGGCTGTACTGTTCTATCTGAGATTCCATAATGCTTACAGTTCCGGGTGAGTTTTTCCCAGTACAGGTAGGAAGCACATGGACTTCAGTTGTAGATGTTTCTCCATACTCAGTGTGTTTATGAGGCACTTATTTTTCTAATAACTCATGTTTTAATTTTTATTCATATGGTTAGTATTAGCCAGTAATATGAGGTTGTGTTTGTATTTTTTCCCCCATATCCATCATACAGTAATACAGGCAGCCCCTAGGTTATGAATGAGATCCATTCCTTAAGTATCTCTATACATCAAATTTGTTGGTAAGCTGGAAAAATAATAATATAGTTCATAAGAATAGTAACAATTACACAGTAATAAAAAAGTAACTACATACAGTACTGTACCTCGAGCCGACAGACCACTGAAGCTGTGCGACATTTTCATGAGTAGTGTGTGTCCGTTATTACAAACCATTGTATTTAACCGTTGTATTAAGATGTTCTTAACCTGGGGGACTGCCTGTATATAAACTTTGGTTAGTGTTAATTATCATTGTATTGATAGATATCCTACCTCATATTAAACAGAAATTTATTAATAATCTAATCAATTCAAGCAGAGAATTCTTCCTCATACTTAGTAAAAAGTTGTAAAGGAAAATGATCTCTACTAGTGGTGATGCCATATGCACAGTTGCACAGTAATGTTATATTGCAAACCCTTTTTACCTGCACTTTGCTTGTGTATAGTCTGTTTTTAATTGTCTCATACATCTTTTTATCTTGTGCTGTGTGTATAGATTCTGATAACTGTTGGCTATTCGTGTTTATTGAATTATCATTAGTATGGGGATAATTTTAGTATCTTTTGTCCTTGTAGCTGCCAAACACGCTAATTATTAAAGCCATAAAGTTGTCTGCCTGCTACCTTAGAATTTTCATTGAATAAGTGTTTGAGAAAATGTTTAGGCTAAATTCTGGGCTTATTCTATGTTGATTGACGGTGCCTCATTGAAAAGATGTTGTGGTTGCTGAGCTGTCCCTTTCTCCACCATGGCTTCAGCGCTTATTGCTTCCATGATTTACCAAAACAGTCGTTTGTGGCGTGCTTTGCTAATCTAATTTATTAAGCATAAGGATACTCTGTATTTAAACAGATTACTAGATTTTGCATCACGTTATGACTCTCATTAATATTTTAGGCTTACTACTAATAAGTTTATAGATTTGTAACTTTTGTAGACTGTATATAATATAAAAATATTATAATTCTGAACCCTGAATGTTTTCCCTCTTGACCAGTGAGAGATCTCTTACATTGTGGGTGTGGCTAGTGATGTCGGGAGTCTCATGTGCCTGTGCACTGGGGTAAGTGTTGTTCTATCTCTGGCTTGTACATCATATGTACATGTGGTTGAAAAATGTTTATATTTTAAACTGCCTGTTACAGTGTGACATTTTTTGCTGGAGAGCTCTTGAGTGTTTTAGCCAAACAGATGCCTTACTTAGACCTTTTAGTGTCTAGGATCATATAATCAAATTGCTTGAAGAATAAAATCTATACTGACTTGCTATGCAGTTAGTTGTTTTCTTTAAGCAGTGGTGCTTTTCAAAAATGGTTATTATAATAAACACTTATATTAAACACAGTATAGCTCACAAAATACCAAGAGGATTTAGGTTCCGGTAAAGATAGTAAATATTTTTGCTGTGATAAATGACAAGGGCCTGATTTCAGTGTTTGATACTTTCAAAACCGCAAATATGATCAGCTGGTTCTATTTTATAAGTCTTATTTAACAAAGAACAGTGGTAGCATCCTCCAGGTGTAATGCAATTCTATTTACCATTTATTTATTCATTCATTCATTCATTCTATTTACTTGGTGGCATTTTCAGTGCTGAAAAACTGTTGAACAGACAAATGAGTGATTAAATAGCTACATTTTTATTTCAAATACTATTGATGTTTTGGATTACATTGTAGACTTAATGAAAAAATACAAAAATGCTAATCTTTTATCAATATTTCATCATTATGTTGCCTGAAGTGCTTTAAAAAGAGCTAGAATTTATCTTAATTGTTTATGAAGCCTCATATATAGTAAGAGAAAATACAAGTAATCTGAAAACAGGTGCTCAGTTTGTTGAATCACAGTAAATTTGCAGTGGATAAGTTAAATTCATGATCTGCTTACTGCGTAGGGTGAAGTACACTGGTGTCTTCACTTACATGCTTCTGCTGGGGCTTGCAGTGTTTCACACCTGGCAGCTTATTGGAAACCAAGCACTGAGCAATGTGAGTAGGTGAAAGCTTATATATAGTATTGTGTGAAATTCAAGGGAAATGCTTAAAGCTATTTGTCTGAGTAGTAAGTGTATATTTGCTCAGGAAAAAGACACAATTTAACATTACACAAATGAACTGTAACCGATAAAAACAATAATGTCCTCTATTCTAGATGAACACCACTTCAGTTCTCAAATCTCTCCTCTGGGGCACCCAGCCATTCCATGCTTTTGTTAAATTTCACTATCAGCTCACTTAATTAAGTTAAGTTTAATGTGGTATAGATTGCCCAGCTGGTGTGTGAGTGACCGACAAATACATGGGTATATCAGATAGTTACTGTAAATACTAGGGTGACTTTAGGAGAGATTTTGAAGTTGACACTCTTTGACAGACACCAACATAATTTGCTTTAGTGGCTTAAAACTTTTGCACAGCACTTTTTCTCAGTTCTGCATTTCTGGCCAATTTTTCACATCTGATTGTTCAGAAACCTGTCGTTGTATTTTAAGATTCAGCTTCCTGCTGAATTTGACATTTGTCGTGCTCTTGTTTCACTTTCAGGCATTGGTGATGGTTCAAGTGATGGTTCGTTCCTTTGCACTCTTGATCCTACCTGTGTTGTGCTACTTTGGATTTTTCTATGTACACCTGAGCCTGCTGTGCCGCAGTGGACCCCATGATCCGATGATGAGCAGTGCGTTTCAGGCCAGCCTCGAGGTGACCTGGTGCATGGCTTACAGTGTCCAGATGTTCTTCTGCATGTACAGCTTTTTGTGTTTTTTTTCTGTTTGTCCTGCATCGTATTCTGTAAGTAATTTGTGTGCTGAATTTCAGGGTGGCTTGTCAAGGATCACACAGTGGCAGCCACTAGAGGTTGCTTATGGCTCTCAGGTGACATTACGCAGCGTGTCAAGCAAACCTGTACCATGCTGGCTTCACTCCCACAGGGTCAACTATCCTATTAGGTAAGTCGATTGAGGCGCAATTCTTTCCTCATTGGAAACTGAGATGTTGATATGATATTGAGGCCCATTTCAAATTTACACTCAGGTTGACCATGTGGGAGGTTGTTAATGCTTAAAATTTACATTACTGTTCAAAAGTTTCAAAGAATGTTTTTGAAAGAAGCTTAAACTTTTTTTTCACGGTGGATTTTTTTTCACGGACTATGGTCTTTGAGGCAGCGTTTCGAAGAAAAATCCACATTTAAAATGAGCTCGGGTAGCAAACTTATGCCCTTTTCTGGTAAACATGAAATATGGAAAGCTGAATGGGATGGAAATATTGATAGCAAGCTTTATGAAATCCGTCCAGTTTTTGGAAAGCTGACAAAAGTTAACTTTAAAAATCACTGGGACCAAGTCGTCTATAGAAGGTGTCACATGGGCCTTACCTGCCTGATCCTCCTGTTTTACTTACAGGTTAAGATTAACGCTCCTTTAACTGTTAAACATGATTTATTGTATTTTGCTGCTTTTAATTCCCGGTGGTGAAGTCACTGTTTCACTGACTCTTCAAAAGAGATTTTTAGTAATGTCATGCCAGGGGCTTTTTTAGATATATATTTTTTATTTAATCTTAAGCTTGTTATTTATATTGTTTTTACTGTTTATATGTTTTATAGTTATTTATGAAGTTGTTACCTTTTTGGCTCTTTAATCTGTTTTATTACCCATATGCTCCTGCCATGAATATAGCCATAGTTGCTGGCATTGCGTTGAGTGTCAGCTTAACTAACTAACTTTGAAAATGAACAAAAAAGAAGAAAATATTGAAATGGGTGAAAGAAGACCAAGGGCTGGGCAGTAGATGCTTGGAAACACCTATTGTGGATGAATTTATCTAAGTTTAACGTGTTGGGATCAAAGAAAAGAATATATTGGAGAGCACAGTGGAGGTGATGTAACGGTATGGAGCTGCTTTGGTGTACAAGGAGTACAAGGAATACTGAGCCAGCAAGCTCACCACTGTGCTACAAAAGCATGCCATCGCCAGCCAGTGTCCTCATGCAGCGGGACAGCCACCCCAATGCTAATCTCTGTTTTGATCATTTCTATTTTTGATCAATTTAATTAAAAAAATTTGCAGTCATTTTCAGTCAAACATTGTTCATGATTCCAGACTTTTGAACAGTGGAATATAAATTAATATCGACCTCTGTTCCTTCAGTGACGGTTGTATTTATGTATAATTTTTTTTAATGAAATTCCATCAGCATTCAATATTGATGAATGACCTGCCTGGGGTTACCATGTGCTTGTTAGCCTGGCTTTTGACTGCCTGTGATGCTGTTCAGGTATGAAGATGGGCGTGGAAGCTCCCACCAACAGCAGATCACCTGCTATCCCTTCAAAGACGTCAATAACTGGTGGGTTATCAAAGATCCAGGCAGGTGAGTGTCACATGTGCTCTTATGTTCATAAGAACCAGGAATATCAAATAGTAAGACCAGCACTGAGTAATGAAGCAGACTGATTTCTGTGGAACTTCTGGCATCTGAATTTTATGTGATTGTGATAAGATTAATTGTCTCTTGACTGCTTATTATTTATTTGTTCACCATTAGTTGTTCATAGTATTGACCTTTACAGTGTACTTGTTACACACAGCCAACATCTTGGATGTTGATTTTTTTGAAAATATTTATGTAAAAACACTTAACTGTTGTTAACTGGATTATTTTGCTTTAGGCAGGAACTGGTAGTGAGCAGCCCACCCCAGACAGTTAAGCATGGTGACATCATCCAGCTGGTACATGGAATGACATCACGGTTCCTAAATACGTATGTACCCTGCCTCTGAGCCAGTGGAACTTTATAGTAGGATATTTTTAATGCAATATATGAGTGTTAGTCTGCTAAGGAACAGTACTTGTTTTAAAGAAACATTATTTTAAAATGTTGAATAGATCAAAAGGAAAACGGGTTTGATAATATTTTGCTTGAAATGATCATATGCCTTCTTCGTCACCTTCCATCACTGTTCAGGGGCCTGTGTAATGAAGTAGGATTTCATGCTTAGCCGGATAACTTGTCAGATTTAAGGTAACCTGGGCTAAATGGAAGTGAATGAAGATGAAGTCCATTTACATTGTGGTACTTTAAATCTGATAAGTTATCCGGGTACATATGAAATCCTGCTTCACGATACAGGCCCCTGAAAGAGTCTCTTGGTATTAAAATCGGTTACATATATGTGGCAGTTTTACCATGGATGTTTATTGAAAAAATCACTCAATTGCATCAGTCAGTTTTGTTAATCATTGTCATTCTTAGTTAATTGAAAATGCCAGCGTTGATGAACATTTGTTTGTTGATGTGCAAATATCCACATACACTTCAAGCATGGTTATAATTAAATTCAGTCTGTCAGCACTTTGGTTGTCTTTTCGTTGCACAAGATGAAAGTGAATAGTGACTATCCAAATAATGTGATTTAAGCAGTTTCAGAACTCTCATGGATCCAAAGACAGGTAAACGTTTGACACAGACGTGATAATAACAAAAAAATGCTTCACTTAAGATTTGACAGGTGTTTTTTGGTTTAGTTTGTCCGAAAGTAATGTTTTGCAATTGTAAATGTACCGATTGGATGTTAAGAAAAATTAAAATACTGACACACACACACACACAAAATACTTCCTGTGGTCATAAAGTCCCTCCCCAAAACCAGCTAACCAGCTAGATTAACCACATAGCTAACCTGGCCTTTTTCACAGTCCCTCAGCTCTTATGTGTGCGTGAAGGTGCAGTGATCATGCAGTGTTTTTCCTTTTTTCACAGGCATGATGTTGCTGCTCCTGTGAGCCCTCACTTACAGGAGGTGTCTGGCTACATTGATTTCAATGTATCAATGCCTTCCCAAAACTTATGGAAAGTGGTGAGTTTTGTATTTTGGAAAATAGGTTTTATGTGCATATTTTGAATATTTCACAGTTGTTGCTTATATTTGCTAACTGTATAACTTCATACATACATGGGGTAAATTCTAAGGCAAACTAAAGAAATGTATTTGACAACCAGATAAATATGTGAGGATAAAATGGGTTTCAATCTAACATCCAATCAAGTCATCCTTAAGCTGATGTGCAGGCGTTTATGTGCTTATCAGATAATGATCCTGGTTCAAGCGGTGAACACTGTTGTGCTATTTTGGTTGCCTGGGAAATACTGACTGGTTGTCTTTTACAGGAAATACTCAACAGGGAGTCTGAGAGAGCAGTTTGGAAAACAATTTATTCAGAGGTGCAGCTGGTTCATGTGAACACCTCTGCGGTGCTTAAGGTTTGTAAAGTTAGGATTGCCTGTACCAGTGTCTCTGATACTCAGGAACCCCCAGACAGTTCGCATTTTTGCTCCCTACCGTGGAGCAACATTTGGACTGTCTGGCAGGGAGCTGGGAGGGAGCAAAAACATTAAATGTCTGGGCATCCCCAAGGACTGGGTGGAGAGACACTGGACTGGTCTGTTTGTCTTCACATAGTGACCAGTATTGATTTGTTCATATAATAGATATTGGAATAAGTCTATGTGGATATTATGAAACTGTGAACAATGTGATATTTATGTTTTGGTTGAATTTGTATGGCAGGAAGAGCATGACAGCTGATTCTTTAAAAATAAATAAATAAATAAATCATAACTCCAGAAGGAAGCTTAGCAAAAACACCAATTTTTTTTATCAGATGATCTTCAGATATATAAGCATACAAGGTAAAAAAAATATGACAATGATGGCCCACTTGGCCAAATGAGGACTTAAATATAGGCAGTTGAACACACTTCAAAAAATGACTCTGACACTCGTATAAGAGTAATACATGTGGTTGCTACAGCCACATAGCCGAATATGTCATAAATGACAGGGGAAAAACAACTGAATGATTTATCTATGAGTGAGAAGCTCTCAAAGGGGGGCGTCATTTTGAAATTTTGGCCAATTTTTGGCTGATCTGATAACATTTTAGAATTTTACAGACAATGTCTGCCCTAGTCACACAGTTTCAAAGCTGCACGTGCGAATCCGAGTAGCTATGAATGTTGGAAGTGGGACCCAAACGCTGAGTCGGCAACATGCGTGAAATTAATAAAAAATTCTAAAAGCTGTAGTTTCAAAACTATTAGAGATACAGAGCTAATATTTGACATTTCCCCATAAGCATGGTATAGGAGCACTTGTGATTTTTTTTCCCCAGCGGAATTTGAGAAGGTGACATGGGATTTTGTTCTCAAACTGGGTGATTTAATATAGAATGACTCTTAATTGTTATATTTTGAGGAACTGCACACGCATGGGACCTTGAGGAAATGACTGTATCTGTACTGCTATGCAGCTGAGTGGCGCTTCTCTGCCAGAGTGGGGCTTCAGGCAGTTGGAAGTCGTGGGGGACAAGCTGTCCAAGGGCTACCAGCAGAGGTGGGCTTGGAACGTGGAGGAACATCGCTATGGAAGGAGTAAGAGACCCCACTGATTGCTTTTAAATGTCCCTGTCACACACATTAATTTTATGAACTCCATTTTCTACTTGATTAGTTAAAAATGATCCGAGTTCTTCATACTCATTGTATGATGTACATGCACAATAATATTCTAGTTTAGAAAGGCACGTTCTAAGAAGGTGAACGCTTCCGTTTTATCCAAGGGGATAACTGTGCTTAAACAATACAGAAATATAACCTGAGGGTTTCTCTTTTAAGTTTCTGGAGGTATCCTGCTGTAGCCTTGAGCGAGACCTGACACCCTGTCCCTAAGCATCTTCAGAGTTGTGCGTTAATGTATTTGAATTACCGCTGTGCCCCTGACTGCAGGCCACGAGCAGAAAGAGAGGGAGCAGGAACTGCATTCCCCCACTCACATTGACATCAGCCGCAATCTCACCTTCATAGACAAGTTTCTGGAGGTACAGGTAAGGCAGCTATGAGTAGACCAGCCGTCTCAGGTGAGATGCTGTACATTTGCAGACATACAACAACCAGGTGTTTGGGGTCTTTTTTTGCAATGTAATTAAATCCTTTTGCCATTAACTTGATGGATGTTTGATGCCTAAATATATAATTCTGATAAACAGTGACCATATTTGCATCTGTGAACTTCTGCTTGTTTAGCTAAAGATGCTTACAATGAAAATTGAGGAGACGGAACACAAATACAGCTCCTCTCCTCTGGAATGGGTCACCATGGACACAAATATTGTGTACTGGCTTCATCCTTCCAGCAATGTAAGTTCTTCAATCAGTCAGTGATCTTGCACTGAATGATAATACAAAGTACTTTTCATTGTTTGTTTCCTGCATGGTCTCTTACTTAATCAAAAACTAAAGCAGAAATCCAGAGAATCCTGATGTCTTGCTAACTCTGCATGTTCTGCAAAAGCCCAGGATTTTCTCACCATCTCATCTCTTATCTGTGTGGCCCTCAGGCTCAGATCCACTTGATTGGCAATATTGTCACGTGGACTTTTGCAAATCTGGGCCTTGCTTTGTTTTCTCTTCTGTTCATCTGGTACCTGCTGAGACGACGACGCAATATACACGACATCCCCGAAGGTACTGGGGGCAGACTGTAATGCTGAAAGCTGATTTTTACTCTTGATGTAGGACTCACAAGGACACAAAATGTCCAAGATGTGTTTTAATCTGCGGAGTCACTATTAAGTACAATACCAGAAGGAAATTTAATTGGCTACCTTTTCTGTGCTATAACCATATTTGTGTAAATAAAATACTAGTTGGAAATCAATTTTGTATACAAGTTCTCATTAACTGCTCACAACAAATTGAACATTCATACCCAAAATTAACTTTTTCTGTTTCAAAGAATATCAAAGAGCAGTGCTTCCTTATTCTAAGTGTTCATAGACCTAAGTAAATATTTGAGTAAAGATGTGATTTTTATCTTTCTCTTTCCGATTATCACCTGGATTCAGAAACGTGGCATCAGTTTGTTCAAGCGGGTGCAGTATGTGCTGGTGGCTGGGTGGTGAACTATCTGCCCTTCTTCATGATGGAGAAGACACTCTTTTTGTACCATTACTTGCCAGCTCTCACCTTCAAGATCCTGTTGTTATCAGTGGTCATTGAGCATCTCCATGTTCACATCTTCAGGTAAATGGTAACAGGTGTTGGAATATGTAGACATGGCAGGTTTCAGATTTTAAATATCAGGAGGACCTCCACTGCTCGAACAACGCCCAATCAGCTTTGCTCTATTAAAATACATACGGCTGGTAGGCTACTTTCGGTAAAAGCGTCTTCTGTGTGACGGTATGTGACTAAGATACCCCTGCATCTACATGTTTGGTATGGTAGAGGTCACCAGTAAGTTGCTAGTGTTTAAAATTCACTTAAATTGTTCAGTATACTTTGTCTTCCAGGTCAGTCTATGTAGCCTAATCCAAATAAAAACTTGTGTGTGATTTTGAATTTGTGTTGTATTATCACACATTCAGCATTTTATCTTGTCATCTCCATGTCATGTCTTCCTCTTATTAACAGTTTTACGTATCCAGTTGCATTTTGACCTTTTCCCGCCAGGTCTTCTTTACAGCGACGCTCTCTGGAGGGTGTCCTCCTTGCAGGACTGGCCCTGGTGTACGTATGCTATCACACCCTCAGTCCTTTCACCTATGGCTACCCAGAGCTTAGTTCTGAGGACATTCCCTTTCTGCGCTGGAGGGAAAGCTGGGACATCCTGATCCGGCAGCACTAACCGCTGGGGAGGCTGTATCTCCACTCTGAGGGCTGTGGCCCCCAAAATATTGTCCGTTTGCACTGCTGAGACGTCACTGCAGTACGCACTGGCTGTATGGTGTGGGAGGAGTTAATGCAGAGTTCCAGTGACTGTAATAACTGAGGCAATAAAATGTTTTAATGCGACTGCAGCAGTATATTTCAAATTGTTTTTATGTTTTGCTAATTAAGTTTTGTGCTCATCACTCAAAACAAAATGTGACCATCAAATGGCTGTATAAAAAATTGCATTAACTTTTTTGTACAGGTAAAGTTATTTTTGTTTTGATCCTTTTTAGGTAATAAAATGCACAAAAAGTATTTATTCATCTTCATTGTTCTTTTGGATAGATCTTCATACCACCAAATGTACAAATGAATCTGCTTCATTTTGCCAAGTATTTCACATGAATATGTCATTTGTCTTCTCATGTTTGGTCCTCAGAGGCACAGTGTCATAAGCCTCCCCTGCTAAAGTGTTTTCAGTCCTAGGATTCTCACTGATTTTTATTTTATTTTTGTTTTTTTTTTATTGCACCATTCACTGTATGCTCTGCCTTGGGTGTTAATCCGAGGTATATGTGCATATTCCTCTAAGTTAAGACTGCAGACAGCTGTCCGTGAAGGATGTCTCTGCTGCCTCATGCACATTTTCATGGGGCTGGCTGCAGCCTGGAACCTGCCTCTGCAAGGCTTATGTTGGGCAGGACCTGGATGTGCCCAAGAGCAGGACCTCCCTCTCACACACATGAGGTGTTCTCTTTCTCTGGAGGTCTCCATTAAAATCTGAGTAGCACTCTAGGAACAAAGCAGCCACACTTGTTGGAACATGGTGTGTATGTCACTGGAGATGGGCACCTTATATCCTGAATTGGAGGAGCTCTGCATGGATGGAGTAGTTCAGACTGTCACTCTGAATGAAGCGGAATGAACTGTTGAAATCCTAAATCTCTTTCCATTATTCTGCACCAAGCCTGCTGTTCTACCTCTTCTGGTTACATTGTAACCAGAGTCTTCCGACTTCCCAGTATCCTTCATTGAATGGAATTGCAAAGGATCTTTTAGCAACATGTATAGTCTGGGCATCCTTCTGCACAGGGTGTAAAGCAAGGTCTTCAGGCTTGCCTTCCAGACTAAGCTGACAAGCCGCATTGTGGATGGAGATGAGTGTTGCACTCGTGGTTCTGCGGTCCAGTTCTGTTTTTATAATATCAGAATACGATTTAGAAAACGTATTTCTGCAGCAGTTACAAATGCAAGGTTTCATACAGGGATTGTGCAATTAGATAACAGCAATAAACAATAAAAGAATTAGCTATTCCATACTATAAGTCTATACATTTTGAAGTAGTATGTTAGAAATATATTATCAGGGGCGGAGCTAGAAATTTTGGGTGTCCTGCTTGGGTTGGCACCTGAAGAAATATGTCTCCCACAGTGGATAGGATTTGCTGAGGGTGTATGGGGTGTCCCTTGGTAGATTTTGCCCCAATGGTACATTTTGAGGCCCTTATAAAGCACTGGGCCCCCTGCCAGGGTACATTTTGAGGCCCTTATAAAGCACCGAGCCCTCTGAATCTGCCAGGGTACATTTTGGGGCCCCTAAAAAGCACTGGTCCCTCTGTGTCTGCCAGGTTACATTTTGGGGCCCCTAAAAAGCACTGGGCCCTCTGAGTCTGCCAGGGTATATTTTGGGGCCCCTAAAAAGCACTGGGCCCCCTGCCAGGGTACATTTTGGGGCCCCTAAAAAGCACTGGGCCCTCTGAGTCTGCCAGGGTACATTTTGGGCCCCCATTAAAGCACTGGGCCCTCTGAGTCTGCCAGGGCACATTTTGGGGCCCCATTAAAGCACTGGGCCCTCTGAGTCTGCCAGGGTACATTTTGGGGCCCTATTAAAGCACTGTTGGCTAAGAGGCCCAGTGTCGAATATGATAGGGAATGTTCCTAATTAATAAGATTTTTAATGCAAAGTTCTTTACCTCTATAGAAAAGTTGTCAGGCGTATCCTCCTTCATCACTAGGTAAGCCCAGTTCTCCTTTGTTTCCTTTGTTCTCCTTTGAGGGACCCCAGGTACACCTTGGGGCCCCTCCTTTTCAGGCCACCCACAATCTTCATCCCCCCCTTCTGCCCTTCAGACCTGCAAGGTGTGGCTTTCCTGCAGATCACAGTGACAAGCCAGGAGTTCTCCTCAGTACCTTATAGAATACACTCATTACGTCTAAACCTTCTCTCCTCAAAACACAAAATCTAAAAAAAAAAATTTATAATAATAATCTGGAAAAAGGTACATTTTATGTGAAGTTCTTTAATAAAGATATGTTTATCTGTAATCATTCAGATATTTGTTGCAAAGTAACAATTTTCCCAATAGATGTTATACTAGCAATTCTTATGTTTACCACAAGATGACAGCATGGTTTTGATTTCAGTTCAATTTCACAGAAAGTAAAAACTATTTGGCTGCTATATGTACAAAATTACATTCATTCATTTTTTAATTTTTTTCACATTCTGCTAGAGGTTTGAAGTGCTAAATTATACACAGGCACTCATTACTTTAAAAATTAAGACAATGCAGTACGGTCAATTATGTTTCATGATGTTCTTGGTCTTGCTTGTGTGCTGTTTGTGTGTGGAGTTTGCATGTTCTCCCTGTGTCATCATGGGGCTTCCTCTGGGTGCTCTGCTTTCCCCCCACAGTCCAAAAACAAGCTGAGGTGAACTGGAGATGCCAAACTGTGTGTGAATGTGCCCTGTCATGGGCTGGCACTCCATCCTGGGTTTTGCTCTGCCTTGTGCCCATAGGCCCCAGATCCTCTGTAACCCTGAATAGGACAAGCGGTTACAGAAAATGGATTGATCTTTAATTTATTAAAAAGTTGTCCGCAAACACTGTAAAATATATACTTTTAATGTGCACTTTTGGGGATGCAAATCCATGTAGAAGACAGTTTGCTTGTTTAAAAAATCAGCTTTTAGTATGAAGGCAAAAACATGTATTTATAAATATAAAAATATAGTTATAAATATTGTTTTCTTAAACTGATACATTTTATTTGAAACCTGTGTCTGCAATCCACTTAGTAAAAAGCAATTCACTTTAAATCTTAAAAATATGTATATTTTTGTTTCCACAAAGGAGTTTTGGCTTTGCTTTTGCACATTTTTCTTGTAATAGTCATAATAATGCACAGAAGTGTATAAAACGTGAAGATATTTCTCCGTGCTCTATATACAAGCACGTGCAGTTCTTTAGTCTGTTGCCATGCTTTAATATACAGTGGTACCTCGGTTCTCGAACTCACTAGAACTAAAATTTCTTGAAAGTCGAACAAACCAGTTTGACCTAGAACTCGATCTGAATATCAGAAGTCGAACCATGAACGCTGACCTAATATAAATTGTACGCGCCAGGAA